AATGTACTCACGGACATACCAGGAAGAGGAGGAGGAGGCAGAGGGAGGAAGAGGGAAAGGACATCGCTTTTGCATTTTCCAAATAGTCCACGCTTTGCTCTGATCACACCACTGTGCTCTGTGCTCAGGCTTATCATGGCCGATGGAGTTGCTTAGTTGCTTGTTTCGTGTAAACTGTGGTTGAAAAACCAGTAAGGACCTTAAAGCTAGCTACGGGCACACGCAGGCCGTCCTCTGGTTAGTCAGCAAGGAATGCTTTAACAGTAAGGTGGCTTTGCGGGAAAGCTGTACTTCACTCAGAAACAGTCACTTCAGCTCTGACTAGCAAGGCTCAAGGTAGATTTTGCTAATTTACTGACTGACCATCTGTCGGAGCTCTCCTCTGTCTGAAGCAGTTGTTGACTTAACCTACTCGCTGTTATTTTATCTCATTTTGTAGCAAAGCCAACCCAGTAATAATGATGGTGGTGGTGGTGGTGGTGGTGATGATGATGGTAACAACGCAGAGGAAGAGAAATTTTGCATGTTTTCCCCCCATAGGTGGGGTGGATGCCTACTAAGATGCTTGTTAATTAGTGCTGTGCAGGCCACTAATTTGCTCTAGCATTGAGACCAGATTAAAAGTGTCAGCTTTTCCCCCAAGGCAGAAATGCCTGGATTTACGGTATTTAAAATAAAGGCTAGCGTAGGTGCAATTTTCATTAACATGAGCTTGCACCACGCCTCTGGAGGGTCTCTTACCTCTGGCCTGTTAGTTCACTATCACGTAAGCATCGGCCAGATTTATTTTTAATGAAGCTATCTTGTAAAGTCACTTTGAAAATTTGGCTAGGCTATAAGAATATGAATTACTACTGTAAATTTTCAACATGAGTAAAGATTATAACTTTAAAACAATTATTCCTCATACTAGTAAATATAAGGCTTAATGAATTAAGCATTAACTGTTTATGAACAAAACTTACTGTTAACTAATATTAAATAAATGTTAGTAAATATGGGTATACATAAAACGGTAGAGGAGAGTCCTGATTCTCAATGGGCTGATAATTTATGTGACAATAGAGAACATAAAAATTGGGCCCTCCCTGGTGATGCAACAAGTTAAAAGGCAGCACTAGGAAGCGATTGGCAGCCACTGCAACATAAGTTTGATCCCCAGCCAGGGAGGTGACCCACAGGGCCCAGCAGACCTCTCCTGTCCCGCCTGCTGTTTCCCTCAACAGTGGATTTCAGTAGATCCGCCTGTTCTGCTCCCCACTCTGTCTCTGGTGAATCCTCTCACCCACTGCACCTCTGGCCTGTGCCCCAGTTCTTGAATACATAAATAAATAAATCTTTTTTTAAAAAAGAACATAAAAATTGACAACAGTGGATTTCAGTAGATCCGCCTGTTCTGCTCCCCACTCTGTCTCTGGTGAATCCTCTCACCCACTGCACCTTTGGCCTGTGCCCCAGTTCTTGAATACATAAATAAATAAATCTTTTTTTAAAAAAGAACATAAAAATTGACAATATGAGAGCTGTCACAGGGCCATAGATTGTTAATTGCCACACGAAATACATCTCAGCAGACTAGCCATGGTCTAGCAGCAGAGGAAGGAACCCACTGAGAAAAAAATAGACACCAAAAAAGAGGGGAAAGCATAGACTCCAGAACAGGAGGAACAGGGAAGCAAAATTGCAAGCCAGGGTGACACTGGAGTCTTCTGTCGGCAAGGCCAGTATTTGGAAGTGGCTGGCAGCCTGTGAATGCCAAATTGAGGAGTTACGTTTTCTGAACAGAAAAGCATCTTGGCCAAAGCAGCTCTTTAGAAATACGGATTTGGCTATGCTATGCCAGGTAAAACAGAGGCCAGGGGGTCAAAGAGAACCATGTCAAGTCGGGGAGTGGGGAGGGGGTGGGAAAGGTGGTGGGGGCATAAGCGCTGAGCCCGAAGTCCACCCTGTCCATGTGCTGACGCGCACCGTCTGAGAGGCCCCTATACTCTAAAGCACTGCCAGGTTCCAAAGAACGGGTTCACTTTAACACTTGGACACAGGAAACTGGAAGTGAAAAAAAAATAACTCGTTTTGAATTTGTACTAGTGGATCTGTTGAATTTTTTCTTCTCAATCTTGTTTCCTTATCTAAGGACAAAAAGTTAGCTCAAAAACAAAAGAGCCATAAAATATAGGAACTGTATACAGGAGGGCTGAGAACAGTTTTTTCAAAATCAAATCAAAGCTATCTCAATTTAAAGGCTTTTCCATCAGCACAAATGAAGGGAAAGGCCAAGAATCTCCAGGGTCCTTTTATGTCTGCTGTATTAGGATGCCTATGACAATTACCTGATTTGGATTATTTGTGATTTACTGAATGTAGTATCCAGAAGATCAGAGAAGTTTGCTGTATCTGTGAATGAGCAGGAGCAATCTGGGACAACCCGAATGCCATGCTCAGACACAAAGTATGTTTATGTACACACGTACATGACCAAATGCCTGTATGTACACAAAGGTACACAAATGCATACATTCACAAAGACAGACGGCATCAAGCCTTCTGCACTGAACCCTACAACCCAGTCCTGGCCTTATCACACACAGAAATGCAATCCCTGGGCCCTTCAGCGGCACTGAAGGCTGGCACACACGATTCCAGTAACACACTGACAGCAAGATGGCACCATAGAAAGACAGAAAGCCTCCTGCCCACATTCCCCAAGCCTCATGCAGAACCTCTTTCCTGGGCAACATCAGATTCAACTCTTCCCAGAACAGACAGAAGGCTGCAGGGACAGGAAACCCATGAGCAGAGACTTGGAGGTTACACTGAAGGCAGGCAGGGAACAGCCCCCCCCCCTCCCAGCTCCTTGCCTTCCCTTGATCCCTCTGCTTGGCCTCTCTCAGATGCTAGCACCAACAAGAGTTAGAGTTAGGGTGCAAAAATCGCTCACCCCACCCCCAACCTCTCTGCAACACTGAAGATCACGTTTGGCCTAAAGCAAATGTAAACGTTTGCGTTTGAGTAAGAGAAAGCAGTGAACACAGCCTGGCTTTATAAACTGAGTGAGCACTGCCTTTAGCTCTTGGCTGGGCAGCTGTGGAAGTCGGTCTGCAAGGTAAGAATGAGTTCGTTCCAGATGTTAATGTTCCTTCCAGGAGCTATTCCTTTCCTTCCCATGCGAGAAACCTGGGGGCATATAGAACATATTTATGTACTCTTACATGGGTCATCAGAAGCTGTTTGCTCCTCGAAGATTCCATAGACGCTTTTTATTTATAAGGCTGAAAAGTCTGCTGCGTTGTGTGTTCCTCATGACTACCCTATAGGGGGACCCCCCCACCCCCATAAAATCCACCCACAGCTGGGTTAGGCCTCACTAATCAAACACATTCACTTGCCAACTTAAAACCCCTGATATAAATTTAAACGCTATCAGATTTTAACCCTCTTGAGTATTTGCATATTTTTCTTCTCTCATCCTTCCAAATCTAATCCTAGAGTTTTGAGAATCTGGGAACTTGGGCAAAGGAGAAAACAACCCTGCAGACCGAGATAGCTGAATTACGTCATTAAATCAACCAAAACCAACAGTACTTTCTTGTTTGCTTGTATTGCCCCGGCTCCAGTTAGAAAATCACAAGAGCAATAAAACACAAAATACAGGTGCCATTTCTGAACGTGGAAAAGCTGAAATGTAATGAAGTGTGTGCTTTCTCGGCGGCGGGGTCATCGACTCTGTGAACACTGTGTTTCCTGAAGCCTCTTGATAGTAACGACACACACTGTTGCATCATACTCACACACATCCACTAGCTGCACTGGGGAGTGTGTGTTTTTCCAAGTGGTCCTGGGCGGTAGCTGTGCAGACACAGACCTTGGCTTCCTCTCTGCCTCTACGGCGCTGGAACAGCAGAAGCGCCTTGCAAGAAGACAGCTGCACGCTTTGCTCTAGCAAGACTTTCTGCTGGAAACTTTCCTCTAACCACCAACACCCGCCTCCGATCCCAAGCTGGCTGGACGCAGACTGGCTGGGTCCCCTCACGACGGGGGAGGATTTTACACACACTGCGCTCGGCTGCCGGAGCGGAGAAACAATCGCGCTGCCCAACTCGCCAGCCCCAGCGCGCCGGCTAAGGGGCTTTGAGAACACCGAGATCCCTCCCGCTGCAGGGAGCAGGCGCTCTGCTCCGCAAGGAACCTGGACGCGGAGGTAGAGTGGGGGGAGAGGGGCGGGTGGCAGGGACGCGAGTGCGGGAGAGAGTGGGCCACCGCAGCAGCCGAGGTAGCGGGTGGGAACGGGGCGCAGTAGGTCGCGCAGGGCGAACCCGGCGCTGGCACCGGCCGACGCAGGAAGGGCGCGCGTGTAGCAACTCGCGGGCGCCAAGGAGGCGCTCCAGGGTGATTCTGCTCTGGACTCCCCAGAGCCGCTGAACTGCCGGTGGGAGGGGGGTGCGGGGAACTGGGGGGTTAAGGGGGGGAGGCCGATGGGGGCGTGCCTTTGCCCGGATTGGCCGCGGGAGCCTGACGCGAGGCCCCGGAGGTTGGCTTGGGGGAGTGGGAGCGGGGTGGGGTGGGTGCTGGGTGCCGGGGCCGCGGGCTCAGCGCGCTCAGAAACATGCTGAGGTCCCGGCGGTTGTTCCAGAAGCGGCAGCGGCTCCAGCAGCAGCGGCGGCGGCGGCGGCGGCGACAGCGCTCGGCTCCGGCGGGGAAG